GGGGGTCACCAACACAAAGATGAAGTAATCTGCAGGACATGCTACGTGTGTATGTTTTTTTTTGTGTTATGTCGACCGCGCTAACCGGCTGACCAGTGAAACTACGTCAGGATTGTATGTTGCAAGCGTGTGTGCATCGGGTAGTGAAGGACAGCCCTTTGAGTCATGTCCGATATCTCTGATGCCTTCCCCTCGCCCTCGGCATTGAACCCTCTGCACAACGCACGTATTTTGCTCTTGTCAAGAAAAAAACACACACACAAATTCCCCCATGACGCTCCCTCACGGGGTCCCAGATCATGGCCTTGCGAAGTATGTCGTGTTTTGAACCGCACTGAGAGTGACGTCTTTTCATTGGTCAGCCAGTTAACGCGGTCGATGCAAACAACAAAAACCCATCCACACGTGTGCCGTTCCCACCTCTCACTCCTCCGAGCGTGTACGACCTACACCCACGACATCGGTCCTCTCCAAGGCCAAACGCATACCATCTGTTTCACTGCACCTCACCTCAAGGTCAGACTTGAGCCCCTCCACCTCCCGCTGCAGCTTCTCGACAAGCTTCCGCAGCAGCGACAACTCCTTCTCTCGCTCGTCACGGCGCTGGTCACCGCCGCGCTCCTCCGATCTTAAGCCCTCCCCTACCCTCACCATTTCCTCGCGCGCACCACCGCATTGGTGTTGTTCCTCCTGCCGGGGTTCTTGAGGGCGAGGGTTGGGGTCGCCCGCGGGTACCGGAATAGTGCCCTCGGATGGTATGGGGGACGACGACGATGACTGGGACTTGTCGCCACCACCGGTAGCAGCGGCGGCGGCGGCGGCGGCGGCGGCGGCGGCGGCGGTGGCAGCCTGTTGCAAGTGGTCTTTCTCGCTCAGCGCCTGTTTTCATGTCAAGTACAGCAGTAGCAGCGGTTACGGGTTTAGAGAGATTGTTCAAGAGAAAATATGCAGCTCGAGAGATTGTTCAAGAGATATATGGAGGCAAGGGAGCATAAACAAGTTGCTTGTCGAGGCCATGACAAGCACATGTACTTCAAAGTATTATGCACACAAATTTTGTACTCTCTGAATACTGTGTAAGAATACCGGATTAAGGAGACTGTTATTGGCTTGTCCGGACTCTCTCTGAAGCCGTAGCCGCTACGGCGTGTGACTTTCCTTGTCAACACAAACAATGACAAAGTCAACCTCAGCATCGCAGAAAGGGCCAGCCTGCACATCACTTTGCAACAAAAACAGCTCGCACAGGCAACGCAAGAAACCCAGCAAAAGAATCCACAATACCAAGACACAAGGCGAGATGAAACGAATCACTAACAATTGCAATGAAGAACAAGAATGCTTTGTGTTACTACTGTCCACAAAAACCGTTCCGGTCTCTGCCCAGTACCTCCAACAATCACCGTTTTTCCAAGTAAATACCTTCGCAAGGGCGTGGCCTAACTCGCCCGTCTTGGCCCTCAGCTCCTGCAGCGAGCCCTCGAGATCAGAGACCTCTTCGCGGCGAGCCTGCTGCAGCTCCATCATGCGTTCGTTCAGTCGCCGTACTTCCTAGAATGAGACATACGCAAACAAAAGGAACGTGGACGAAAGGAAGGAAGGGATGGGGACGAAAACGAAAAGGAACCAAGACAGTGCAAAGAGCAGAGTTGTTCCACCGCACTTCGGCACAGCCGCAGGCAAACAATGAGCAATGGGGTCTTGTGGACAAGGAGGTACTGTGGTCGCTATTCAGGGCCTAGGTCGCTTTTGCGGCTACATGTACTGGTCGGGGTGCAGCAATGGTGCCACGCTATGTTGTGGTCGCTAGCAGGGCATCGACAACTGAAAAAACAGCCCCCCCCCCTCCCCCCTGAAACTCGTTCCACTACCACCAAAGAATACCACCGAGGGAAGCACCAACTGTATATGCTCAGACACGACAGGCACGACGGACCTAAGCACTGGCAACAGGGGGGCTTTGAGGCAGCACTTCCTTTACAACGGGAACAGCACGCTCTTTCGTTCTGTGACCAGCCGAGGGCACCTCGACACCGCAAGCTATGGTGATGTAGTGCACGTTGGGACAGGGCGTGAGTGAGCAAAACTGTGGTTTGAAGCCAGGACTGTAATGGATGTACAGGGGGCTTCTACAGATCGGGAGGATCTCAACAAGCACCCTTGTGCCGATAACCGGGTTCGGATGTTTGGCGAACTCAAAAGAGGGCAACAAGTAGGGCGGGTTAAAAACGCACGATGTACTTGCTGGTGTGCATCGTTTCAGTACTTCTCTATCGATATCCTCTCGACAGTGAGCAACAAGGGATTATCCTTAATACACGCAGCGTGGGGAGGGGGGAGGGTTCCAGCGCTCGTGTTCTTGTATACCATGCCAACACGACCACATGACCACAAACCAATAGGAGTACCTCTTTCAACACCAACACCACCACCACCGTCAACAAATACAGCTTCCAACCTACCAACACGACCTGATACCAAACCACCGCCCTAACCACCACCAAGACTAGCACGACGCCACCTCACCTGCAGGTCCCTCTTCTTTTTGTCCTTGAGGCGGGCCAGGCCCTCCTCCGCCTGCTCCCTCCCGGCCTCCGCCGTGCCGACCGCCCGACGGAGCCCCTCGATCTCCGCCCCGACCCCCTCCCTCGCAGTCCGCGTCGCCGCTGCCTCCCTCGCCCGCGCCGCCTCCAGCTCCGACGACAGTTCCTCGGAACGTTCCCGGAGACCCTCCAGCTCCTCGCGGAGGGACTTGCTCTCCCAGGCCGCCACTTGTGCCACCCCCTCTGCCTCAGACAGAGCGCCCCGCGTCTCCGACAGAGCCAGCGCGGATCGCTCGTGGGCGGCGGCGGCAGCCGCGAGGTTCTGTGCGTGCTCTTTCTCCGACTGTTGTTGGCGGTGTTCACACATAGACACGGTGGTGAGACGGGGGCGCCGTGGGGGGGGGGGGGGGG